TGGTTCGAATCTTGGTCTTCGCTGAAACAGCATAACAAGTGACATAATATTTTTCTAATGCAATGATATAACTTAGGTGGTATAGCAAATTGTAAAGCAAGTTTTTTGATGGCCTTTGAAGAAACTATTAAGAACGGAATATAGATTTAAAAAAAGCAGATTGAGTTGGAAGAACCGTTTTCTGTTTTGAAAACATGCTGATGGTGTTGCTTTTTCACTTCATTTATAAATTTCAGCTGAAGGCGCTCATTTTGATGACTTCTTCTTTTAGCGAAAAGCTCGATCTGGTTCATGGAGTAAAACGGCTCTATACTACAAATGGAAAACTTGTTAGGCAATTTCAGGATATCGAAGACAAACAGGTAAGTAGATCTTTTCAATGAGCTTAGTTTACCTATCTATCACTGAGTTTATAGGACTATGTAGCGGCAACAAATCACTTTATACCCCATCCATACGGGAAGAGTACGGCGCCCATAGGTCATCCATTTCGAGGAGTATCACCACTGAAGTGGGTTTCAGACGTTTATAGTTCATTTTTATAAACATGCTAAGTTCCATGGGCTTTAGTTTTTGACCCTTAAATTATTTGAAAAAACAGCAAGCAGTAGATACTTTTGACACATCTTTTTTTCCTAGGGGTGAAGGCAAAGTAAGATTGGGACAAAGATGGCATTATAAACTACTTTTTAATTTAATGGAGTAGGCAGCTGAAAAAACGACCGCTGCACCCGCGCCGCATCTGCGACTCTCCCGCGCGCATCCTCTCTGATCATTCTCTAGCCTTCTAGGTTACGAAACCCCGCCTCCCAGCCGCCATCTGCTTGATTCGAAGGATAGAGAATATTGGAGACAGACAGAAATGATTTTTGAATTTCCGAAATTTCAATTTATCTTTGTATAAAGACTCTATTCCGGGGGCATGACTCTCTTTTCCTTCGTATGTAGATATCAATATTTTGTGCTACGTACTAAATAATCGACAACTGAGGCCTCTAAAAAAACCGATAATCGATTTTTTTT